TATATATATATATATATATATATATATATATATATATATATATACAGACCTGTTGTACAATTCGTTTTAGATCATTTTATTTGGAGAGTACATTTATCATATCTGTTTTTTTAAAGAAAATCCTGTTTATTGTAGCAATATCAAAGATTGCTCTATTAGTTCTGTTGCAACCAAATAACAATGACGGCTCCATTTTCCATCAGTTAGAATATTGTGTTTTAACGCCCTTAGTGTTGCATAAAATCCCAGAGCTGGGGGCTTACCTGTTTCGGAAGATAGTCGAACCACATGTGAGTGTTCAGGACACGAGGGGAAGGGTATCCCTCGATCAGTTGATGTGGGCTGAGCTCCAAGAAGGCGTCAAGCTTTCACATAGTGGACTGCTGAGCTTGTCTCCTAGCAACCATTCCGATGATCTCCCAGGTCCAATGACAGCCTGTGGGATTTGAATGGGGTGTTGGGCATACAATTGTGACACATCACGCAATCCTTCTCGCCGCAGGTTTCTCACATTGTGACATCCCACACACCTTCTCGCCACAGGTAACTGACATTGTGACATCCCACAAACCTTTTCGCCACAGGTAACTCACATTGAGACATCCCACAAACCTTCTCGCCACAGGTAACTCACATTGTGACATCCCACAAACCTTCTCGCCACAGGTAACTCACATTAAGACATCCCACAAACCTTCTCGCCACAGGTAACTCACATTTGTGACATCCCACAAACCTTCTCGCCACAGGTATCTCACATTGTGACGTCCCACAAACCTTCTCGCCACAGGTATCTCACATTGACACATCCCACACACCTTCTCGCCGCAGGTATCTCACATTGTGACATCCCACAAACATTCTCGCCACAGGTATCTCACATTGACACATTCCACAAACCTTCTCGCCACAGGTATCTCACATTTGTGACATCCCACAAACCTTCTCGCCGCAGGTATCTCACATTGTGACGTCCCAGAAACCTTCTCCCCACACATTCCTCACATCATAAACTTCCCACTCACGTCTCCCCACACGTATCTACAATCACGGCAAAACTCCTTTACCCAAGACTTACCGCACATCCTAAGATCCCACCCCCCCCCTGAGCTCGAGCAAGCCACACAGCATGACAATTAACACACCTTTGACCCCCACACATCAGGACACCCCCACATATATTCACCCCACATAAACCACACTTCAGGATACCCACCAAAACCATATATACCACAACGTGGGGACACTACACACAGACACCTTTACATCCCAAACATCTTCACATGCCACACAGAGTCAAACCTCTCAAACACATCCCCATCGATCCCCCCCCCCAAACTCCACCCAAATACCAATCACACGCTCACTCATAACGAGACACCAAAACAGTTCACACAACACATACATTCACAAACTGAACTCTGTGTGTGTGTGTGTGTGTGTGTGAAGTCTGTTGATGTGGGGTCATTGTGTTGATGTAGATCGGGCGCTTGTTTCAAGCCCACATACCATCATTTAGCACATAGACATACCTTCTCAATCTTCTGACCTTAAAAAAAAACAAAACACACACACACACTCCAACATGATGTTTTGTATTATGACAGCCACGTGACCTCTCACCTGTTTTGGGGTAGCCGCACAAAATGATGTCGTCATCTCGGAGTTGTAGATCTTTCATCTGCTTGGGTCCCCTGTCGCCAAACGGCGGAAGTGATTTACCGTCATAGGACCACAGTCTGAGTTCACGACCTTCTGCGTCATAGAAGCTTTTGTTGCTAGGGAAACCGTACGTTTCTCTGTCGAATCGTTTCTTCAGTGGAGAAGATTTAACCGGAGAGTGGTGATAAAAATAGATGTTAGCTGTAGAACATTTCCTTCGGCCAACTATTCGTGTCACGACCAAAAAAAATTAGTTCAAAGATCTTTGAACAGCTTCAGACTTTGACTAGCATAACGGATCGCTCGATATGGAACTTAGGTCTATGTAGGCCGTGGCGGAGGAAATGTGGTTACAGGAGTGAGTAGAGGGAACAAACGAGGGGTAACAGAGTAGGAGTCGAGAGTATTTCAATAGAACCAGTGGAGTAGCTAGGGTGTGTGCTACCCGTGGCCGACAAATGATTTTGTCACCCTCCCTCCATGCAAAATCATACTTTAAAAACCGCCTTTTCATAAAAAAAAGAGTGCCGAATGGGGCTCGTCAACCTTGTACTCCACCACTCCATCGCCACTGAGAGGAACAATAAGTGAGTAGTGAAGAGCAGTGAGCCCGTGTGATCATATGGGAGTGGTTGAAGACAAAACAAGTCATTCCTTAAACAATTCAGATATTTCCTAAGGATAAATTTTGACACAAGGCCCAACTCACCGTATATGCTCGAATAAATTCATCCGCCATTGTTTCTCTTTACTTGTTCCAGTCAATGAGGAAGCATTCAATAAATTCTACGTGCCTACAAATCCAGTAAAAGTCACAGGATTAGCTGGAGCTTACATAATTGATGAAGTTACGCTGTTAAATGATCATTATGTATTGAACTATGGGGAATTCACGCTGTTAAATGGTGTATTAGATTATGTTGAAGTTACGCTGTTAAATGATCATTATGTATTGAACTATGGGGAATTCACGCTGTTAAATGGTGTATTAGATTATGTTGAAGTTACGCTGTTAAATGATCATTATGTATTGAACTATGGGGAATTCACGCTGTTAAATGGTGTATTAGATTATGTTGAAGTTACGCTGTTAAATGATCATTATGTATTGAACTATGGGGAATTCACGCTGTTAAATGGTGTATTAGATTATGTTGAAGTCACGCTGTTAAATGATCATTATGTATTGAACTATGGGGAATTCACGCTGTTAAATGGTGTATTAGATTATGTTGAAGTCACGCTGTTAAATGATCATTTTGTATTGAACTATGGGGAATTCACGCTGTTAAATGGTGTATTAGATTATGTTGAAGACACGCTGTTAAATGATCATTATGTATTGAACTATGAGGAATTCACGCTGTTAAATTGTGTATTAGATTATGTTGAAGTTACGCTGTTAAATGGAGCGTAACCCTATGGTGAAGTTACATTGTTGAATAAAACATAACACACTGATTAATTTACTCGAAATTTGAAATTCTGGAAGTGTTATGTTACAAGAATAATATCAATATAGAAGTACGGCGATAGTTTGCACTATGGAGATATTACATGGATGTCTGTAAGAAATTCGGATGTGCGTGCAATAATATGTTGAGATGAATTGGTGACTGTGATGCATGTGATTTCTGGATCTGTTAATTCTGAAAGATGCGGGTTTTTTTTTCAATGTGGATGACAAGAGGTAGTATTGACCACACTGGTTTATGTGTATGACGCCTGTCTTTGTTTTATGATACATATATTTATGTTAATGACACCTAAATATGCAAATGACACCTCACACTATTGATGACATTTGGAATAGTGTTTGGATCCTGGCAACGTTTATCACACCTTGGTATGCTGTAAGAGGCGTTTTGAAATGTTCAGTAATCCAACGAACACACACAAACTGAATGAGGCGATTCCTTACTGTGCACCAGGATTTCCACGGTGCTGTGTTTTCTAAGGTCACGCCTGTTCCATTGAGTTTTATGTGTCAACAAGGTGACCCTCTAGTTAATAAACAACTATTTTTAAATGTGTGTGTGCCCTGAGAGAGAGAGAGAGAGACAGACAGACAGACAGACAAACAGGCAGACAGACATAAAGAGAGAGAGTGAGAGACAGCCATAAATAGACAGATATAAGAGAGAGAGAGAGACAGATAGACAGACAGACAGACATAAATGGACAGATATAAGAGAGAGAGAGAGAGAGAGAGAGAGAGAGACGGAGAGCGAGACAGGAAGCGAGACATACAGCGAACCAAAGATCGAGACATATAGCGTGAGAGAGGGGAGGGGAAAAGAGAGACAGAAAGAGAGAGAGACAGAAAGAGAGAGAGACAGAAAGAGAGAGAGACAGAAAGAGAGAGAGACATGTATAAAGAGTGAGAGACATGTAGGAGCTTTGGACAGAGAGAGAGAGAGAGAGTGACAGACAGACAGCCATAAATAGACAGATATAAGAGAGAGGGAGAGAGAGAGAGAGAGAGAGAGAGAGTGGAGACAAAAGGAGAACACGTTCACCTGTTCTGTTGTTGGTACAGCTGCTTGTAAATGTTCTCGTATCTGCTCTTTAACTTTAACTGCTCTGTATCTTTAACGCATGACTTATCATGTTTCGCAATCAGGTCGCATTCTTATTTTTTATTCCGCCGTTGACGTTGGTTCCGCCCCGATTTTCTATCACGCAGTCGAGGGCGCCACCTTCGTGATAAATAATATAGAATCGAGGGCGCCACCTTCGTGATAATTAACATGTAGTCGAGCGGGTCACCACTGTCGGATGCTTTAGATAACAAATTAGAAAATGTTATTATTCCGTAGTTGTCGACCTTGAACACCATAAGCCAGCATACGATGGCAGTTTTTTTATGCTTTGAAATTTAAAGGCTGAAATTAAAAAATCCTCAATTAAAAATAGCCGCTAGGAAAACAGTAGAAATTTTTAGACAAAAGAAATTGGTTAGAGATCAATAGATTATATCTACTCTGACCATTTCTACACGTAAAGTCTAATAAATCTTTTGTTGTGTTGTGCCACTTTAAAATATGATGATGATTGATCACTTTGTATAGCATGTGTCTCAATGCTATTCTAGCATGCTTAAAGTGCTCTGATGTCGTAGAATCTATTTAAAGAAAAAATGTCCTTAAATATTTCTTAAATGATTTTTTTATATTATTTTTAATTTCTCTCAAAGTTTGAGGCAAACTGTTCCATAATTTCGGCGCTGTTGTTTCAATAAAGCGCACTCGGTATGACTTCTTTCTGTGTCCCTCCACACTGGGAACTCTGGGCAGGGACTGTGATGAAGAGTGCACTCAATAGGACTTCTTTCTGTGTCCCTCCACACTGGGAACTCTGGGCAGGGACTGTGATGAAGAGTGCACTCAATAGGACTTCTTTCTGTGTCCCTCCACACTGGGAACTCTGGGCAGGGACTGTGATGAAGAGTGCACTCAATAGGACTTCTTT